TCAACCTTTTTTTTTTTTGGATTTAAGAATTGCTTCACAAACACCGTATGGCTGTATGGTCACAAGCAGTATGGTTACGAGTCGTATGGTTACAAGTCGTATGGTCACAAGTCGTATGGTCACAAGTCGTATGGTCAAAAGCCGTATGGTCACAAGCCGTATGGTCACAAGCCGTATGGTCACAAGCCGTATGGTCACCAGCCGTATGGTCACAAGCTGTATGGTCACAAGCCGTATGGTTATCAGCCGTGTTATCACAAGTCGTATGGTTACAAGCCGTATGGTCACAAGTCGTATGGCCACAAGTCGTATGGTCACAAGTCGTATGGTTAAAAGCCGTATGGTTACAAGCCGTATGGTCAGAAGCTGTATGGTCACAAGCCGTATGGTTATCAGCCGTGTGATCACAAGTCGTATGATCACAAGCCTTATGGTCACAAGCCGCATGATCACAAGCCGTATGGTCATAAGCCGTATGGTCACATGCCGTATGGTCACAAGCTGTATGGTCACAAGTCGTATGATCACAAGCCGTATGGTCACAAAAATTTATTTGATTTCAAATTAAAATATTTTTTTGGATATGAAAATATCATCACTCTTACTCCCTCCTCTATCCGAAATGTAATTCTTGTCACATAATTTATTACTCTTAATTAGAAATTTTCTATAATACACTAAACTTAACTTTTTAAACGATGTTTAATAAATTTAAAAATTTCTTTCTAATTTAATTAAAATTGCTCATACGTTTAGTGGATGCCATTTACTCACTGCTGCGTTGAATAACTGCTGCACATAAATTATTTCCCAATTTCGGTTCAAAAATAAAACCACTTGGTAGGCTATGTATCAGCAATTATTATCTAATGAAATATATTTATAATTATTTGCCTATTGATGCTGCGGCTATCTCGACACTTCAGCCTTTTCAAGCCGTTTTAGTATTGCAATTAAATGCAATAATTACAATTGCATTAGCAATATTTCAACCAGCAAAACCTGCACTTCCCAATAATTAAAGAGCAATCAATTTTTGTTTTATTGCGCTGTCTTATCAGTGCCATTGAAAAATGCACTTAATTAAATATCGATTCATAAATCCGATTTGAAAACTATTGTTTCAAATATGTGCATTTGATGTATTTGCCAAAGCATTAAAAATAAATTAACAGCAAATAATGAATAAATGAAATTCAATATTTTTAAAATATTCAAAAATACGAATACAAGCTTAAAATTTTATTTATGCTGGATGACTCTTGATGTGTTTATACATTCAAGCATATATAATGCAGTAGAAATATATGTGTATAAATGCATTATAATCGTTTGATTTAGTAGAGAGTCTGTCTGACATTTTGACGAGCGAAAAAATATATTTAGAAACTTCTTTTCATTGAACCGAAAAGCTTTCTATTTCATTTACAATATCTTTTTATGTGATAAGAAGTTAGACACTCTTCGGGGCACACTTATCGTAAATCCAAATATTATATAGATATTCTTTATAAAAAATATTGGGAATTTATAATTTGAGAGACCAGCATAAATTATAGTCATGTTTAGTTAAAGTAGTCACTCTTCCATTAGTCGACTTTATTACCATTAGATTATATGATTGTCTGCGTATATAGCACAATCGAATCTGTGCGGTACTTCGAAACAGATACCTCCGGAAAGCGTAGCAGAACCAATATTTACTTCTCTTCTGTCTTCTCAGAAGATCTCACCAATTTTTTTTGTATTAGAAAGAGTGTGTGCTTAAGATTATAACGAGACCACTGGATTTTTCCAATTGTATTCCATTTTTTGAAGATATTTGTAGTTATTGGATCGTTTGTCCACATTAAAAGATGATAACACCAGTTCTGCAACAGCTTCTTATATGGTAGATCCATAAACTACGTTACGATGTACCGGCATTTAGATCAATGAAAATTCTCTCTTAAGTTATTTTAGTCTGCTTTGTATTCTTTTACTAAGTAGAAGATATTTTCCACTTTTTTTTGCTATTTGATAGCACTGCAGTCTATTATAAGGTGAGATTTGAGAGCGACCTGCTAACTAGTCGCTACCTAACTAATTTTTGATTATATTCCCATACAAAGCGGTCCTATGGTTTCGGACCATTTTTGAAGAAAACAAGTGATAATATTATAAACGGACTTAAATAATATATTCATGTCATTTAGAAAATTTGTATGTAAATGAGTAATTTGGTATTCTAGGCCAGACTAAAATTTTTATCCTACGCTGTGTATTGATTTTCTGATTGAGTTCTTTTTTAAAAAAAATTAAATTCGATAGATGATATTATGAGTGCAAACTGCAATCAAAATCTGCTTCGAACACATAAGCTTATTAAAATTCTGAGTTATTTTTAAGAAATCGTAATATGTAACCCCTTGCTTAGTTATTATCTACATATATGGGGTATGAACTATAAGGTCCCATGACATTTACCAGCTACTACCATATGGGAGAAGAGTGCTTCAAAAAGTAATTAGTAGAATACTATAATAACGAAAAATGATGAATCGTATTAATATCGGTTATATCACATAATAGATGGACAACATATAGCAAGATATATTATATAGATGACAAAGAATTTAAAAGTGTGTCAGAATTTCCATACCCATAAATGGTATTTACCAAAAAAACTGCGGGTAAAACTTTCGCTTTTCAGTTCACGTTACACTGAAGTATAGTCAATATTCTCATTTCAGTTCATATATAAAATTTATTTGTGAAGTTTTGTTTCTGATTTTAATTGCTGTTGTCATTAAATTTTAATACAAATCAGAAAATAAATACAAAATACAAAATAGTATAATTAATGTTAATTATGAGTTCAATTGCTAAGTTTTATTTTGTATTCTCATACATTGATTTACAATGACTGATTGTGCGTTTCCTCATTTATCTACGTTTTTAATGCTAATTGATTTGGTGGCTAAATAACTTTCCCTGCTATTTGAAATGCTTTATACGTTTTTGAATATAAAATATAGACTATACTGGATAATGTTTTTGAATTAGTTCTAGTTATTGCCACCAATATTATACATATTATTATTCCATCCAACCTCACAAAACGAAACCTAGTGGTTTTGGTAACACTGACTCTGCTTCAATTTTGGCAGGGTACTTGCAGCTTCAAAAAATTATTGGCAATAATTAAACAAAAGAAATAATTTCAAGACCACTGATAATGGGCAATACTCGAAACAGTTATGTGGTCAGCTAAAAATAAAATTATTTAAAAATAATAAAAAAATATTTGTTGTTATAATTTCATTACTCTTTGACAAAAACCTTTCTATTATTTTCTTTCTTCAAAACGGACGCTTAAAATCAATTTAATTAGTATGTTAGGCATCTGGAATCGCTTCCGACTTCAGGAACTTTAAAAAAGTTCCGTCCTATAATAATTCGAGACCAAATACCTTATTCTATAGTGACTTTTCATGGATGTAATGGTCTTTCTTTATTTACATAGCATCAACACTGACGAATATTCGATTTTTATGGACTTTTGCTCCACTTGTGACAATTTTGTTTGTTGACGTATCGACCAAGTAAATAACCAGAATCATCACCGGAGAATATGCTATTTTTATGAATATTTACTACTACGAGTGTGATAACTTTCTTTTCTGACTTGTCCACCAAGACTGACATAAATGCGATAAACTTCTTTCTTGACTTATCCGGTGCTAAAGGAAAAAACACCAGAACAACCATTGTGTGTATGTCCAAGCTCGTTGAGAACCTGGCTTTTCTTAATACACTCGGCGATAGTTCCAGCATTAGCCTTTGCCAAACACTTGCATTTATCAATGCTTCCGGATGGCTCTAACATGTCTGTTCTTTTACTCACTGTTACGAGCAATTATGGAATCAAAACGACTTCATAGCTACCTATCCATCAACCCAACCTATCCATCAAGCAGTTAATAAGTCCCAACATTATAAAAAATTCGATGTGAAGAATCAACACTATTTCTGCAGTAAATCTTCATAATTGTAATTAGTTAGGTGGCGGCTAAATGATCCATATCATAAGATATTTCAAAATAAATACGTGAAGCCTTAGATGACAGTTCTATTTGACATATGTCACTGAAACAGTACTTCTTACTCAGTACCACGAAATGGAGAGCACTGTACAAATTATAATATGTGAAAATTTTTTTTTTATTTTTGTGAATAAATTATTTAAATTCTTTTATATATATTTTTTTGTAAATTTTTCTGTAAAATTTTTTGTGAAATTTGTAAATATTTTAAACATTTAGACAATGTATTGCCATGGCAGTGACCACATACAAAATGCTATCCGTACTCTATTGTGACAGTTAGGTTAACTCAACTGTATTAAGGGTCACAACAGAGCTTTTTTGGAAAATCACTAAATTCATTATCTTCAAATAATTCAGAACCGCTTAACCGCAACAAATTAAACTTTTATACAGAGTACATACATATTTTAAAGTTATTTTCTAATTAATATTAACAGCAGTGATTTTGGTGTGCATAACACTAGAAAAATGTTGAAAATTTATTTTCAAATTAATTTTAATAATTTTCAATTACCAATTTGACTACAAATTGAACTGCACTTGATGCTCACGGAAGCGAAAAGTGCAATATTGCCAAATTATGCAGGTTCGCATATTCGCAAATTCGCAGGCACAATAAAACCAACGGTTGAGTGGCGGGTCTATGCAATCATGTAAAATATGAAAACCCATAAAGTGCGGGCTCTTTTGTTAATTGTGACCAACACGAGAGCTGCAAAAAAAAAGTGCAGTGCGAAGTGGTTGCAGCAGTGATGTACACACGCAGTGATGCAATACTCGCCTATGCCTCCTGCCAGGTCACCAATCCGCATCTAAGCTCTGTCTGTTTATGGGAACATCATAATCATAGTATGTGCAGCATAATCGCCTTCGTTTATTTGGTGCAATTACCCGCTCCAAGGGCTGACAGTTATGCAATGATCCAATATGTTACGTTAAACACGTTCCTGGAGAGGATAAACAAAACAAAGTGTTTGGATGAGTTCAACGGGAGGTTGGGTTTAAATCGGATTTGAGCTTGTTATGCTTTACAATTACAGTTATGATTGTAGCGACCAAATCCTTTCAAAAGTTCAACTATCGGCGACTCTGTTGCGTTACATACTCAAATCGCATTTTTCTGAATTGGGAAAATGCGTTTGCCAATTATTCTTTTTTCATTTTTGATGCGATTTTATTGAGTGCGGTTTTCGGAAAATTATTTTATGCTCATTTTTAGTAAATGCGGTAATTAGATTTTAATTTGTGTGCCGTACTTTGCTTTTATCTGAGTCCAATAACTGATTTAAATTAATAGCAATTTGTGTTGATTTAAA